AAGGATCAGTTAACTGAGCCACACTGGCTGGGCCTCATGTTCTTTTTTTTCTTTTTTTAAAATATGTTTTTATTGATTTTAGAGAGGAAGGGCGAAGGAGAGAGAGATAGAAACATCAATGATGAGAGAGAATCATTGATCAGCTGCCTCCTGCATGCCCCACAATGGGATCAAGCCCGCAACCCGGGCCTGTGCTCTTGACCAGAATCGAACCTGGGACTCTTCAGTCTGCAGGCTGACACTCTATCCACTGAGCCAAACCGGCTAGGGCCTCATGTCCTTTTTTTAATGCTGTTGAAGTTCTAAGTTCATCTGCTCTTCCCCTAAGTTCGTTGAGCATCCTTATCACCACTGCTTTGAACTCTGCTTCTAGTAGATTGCTTATCTCCATTTTGGTTGGTTCTTTTTCTGGAGTTTTATTCTGTTCTTTCCTTTGGGACGTGTTTCTTTGTCTCCTCATTTTGGCAGCCTCCCTGTGTTTGTTTCTATGTATTAGGTAGAGCTGCTTTGTCTCCCAGGCTTGGTAGAAGGCCTAATGTAGTATGTGTTCCATAGGGTCAGAGGCACAGGCTCCCCATTCACCCGACCTCAGCACTCCAGGTGTGCCCACCCCTTCCTGTGGGCTGTGTACACCCTCCTGTTGTAGTTGAGCCCTGATTGCTGTTGGAGGGATTTACCCAGGCCAATCGGCTGCAAGGGCTGCCTGCGACTACCATGGAGGGTCAGCTGTGCAGGGGCCCATCCCACAAAGTAGGACTTACTTCAGCAAGGCTCTGGTGCCTGCTGAGTTCGCTCCTTACGTGTGTTGCTTGTGGGTCTGAAGCTGTTCACTGGGTGCGCTGGCTCTGGAGCCTCCTGCAGGTGCAGGCAAAGATCAACAGCCACCTGTGTTCTGCCCAGGTCACCTGGCATGAGCTACAAAGCAATCTGCACATGACCGCTACTTGTGCTCAGCTTGGAGGTGTCCAGGAGAGGCCAAGCTGCAAGCCAAGGACAGCTGCCACTAGTATGGGGCCTGGGGCCACTTAGAAAGAGGTATGGGGCATGCCAAAGCCAGATGCTGCTTGTTTGAGAGATTTTGGGAATGTCTGAAGCATGAGCCAAGACAGGTCATTCATATGGAAAAGCCATTGGAAACAACTTGGGTGGGCCTGAAAGTTGGTGGGGCAAGGTCTCGGAGAATCACTAGGACTTGGAAAACAGTGATAGCCAGGTTGATGGAAACTTGGATATGGTGCTCTCCTGCCAGCTCTGTGGGGGAAGAGCTCAGAAAAGGAATATGGCCTCTGCCTGCACTTCTGTCTGAGAGAAAGCTGCCCCTCCAGCTCTTGCCATGATCCCAGACACTTCCGTTCCTCCCCATATGTCCCTGGTGCCTTTTGAGCTCCTGCCCCAGTGCTGGAACTCAGAGGGAGTGAATCCAAGTAAGTCTGTGCTTGGTACCTTTAAGAGGAACTGCCTGTGACTCCATAAGTCCCCCACCTCACTCGGCCACAACCCCCACTGGTTTTCACAGCCACAGCTATGGAGACTTCTCTTCCCAGTACTACAACCCTGGAGTGGGGGACCAGGAGTGGGGCTGGGACCCCTCACTACTCAGGGGAGGACCTCTGCAGCCAAGATATCCCTCCCAAATTTTATCTGCCATACCAGGATATTAGACCTGCTTATTCTTCATATCCACTCCTCCTACCATTCTCGATGTGGCTTCTTCTTTATATCCTTAGTTGTAAGACTTCCATTCAGTTAGATTTCAGGCAGTTCTGAATGATGGTTGTTATGTAGTTTAGTTGTATTTTTTATGTGGTTGTGGAAGGATGTGTGTCACATTTACCTATGCTGCCATCTTGACTGGACGTGTTAAAGGAATTTAGTCTTTACTCTAAGGGTACTTGGAAGCCATGAAAGAATTTTGAGCAGGGAAGGAACAAGACTTCACATATTGTATCACTCTGGCTTGGTGCAGGAAAGGGTTAGAGGGATGACACTGAAGATGGGAGGCCCAGGTAGGAGACAATAGCTGTGAAGCAGAAGTGATGTGAAGAGGTCTGGATGAGGGTTGAGACACTGGAGCTGGAAAGAAACATAAACTTTCCAGAGGTGCTTGGAGGTGGATGTGATGGGCCCGGGTGTGGAGTAAAAGCAGTATGCAGGACGCCGCCCCCGTGATCTCCCTAGCTAGAGATTGACCCCCTCCTGTTGCTCCCTGACCCCTGGGCTGTGTCCAGCTTGGCATGGAATCCAGGTCTGCCTCCTCCACTGGACTACAATTGGGGGACAGGGAGGGACAGTCCCATCCTGGGCCCAGAACAGAGGACATACCTGGAATGGGTTGGATTGGTGGGTGCATAAACTAAGAGGAGTCTCTTTCTGCCCTGCTCCATGGTACCTTCTCACTCAGGCCACAGCACAGCCACCCTTTCCCTGTTTCTACAGGCCTGGCCTCCTGAGGGGCGCTGTGTGAGGGATGTCTCAGAGCCAGGTGCCCTGAGGATGGAGTGTGGTGATCCCATCACTATCATCGAGGGCAGGTGAGTGCCTCCTATTTCCTACGAATCCCCAGGAGGACTCCCTCCCAACATGCCTGACCCTGGTTGCTTTTCTACTTTCCCCGCAGCTCCTCCAACCCTAACCCTCTGCTTCATTCCCTGAGAGCTCCAGTCCTGGCCTCCTGGCTGGAGCATGCCCACAGAGCCCTTTTGTGCTGGGGAGAAAAAGGCTTTCCTTCCTCCAGGCAGATGCAGCTCCACGGCACACAGCTCGTGAGCCGAACGCATGTGGGGGCCCAGCCTCCACTCCCCCTGTGTTTTCACCCTCTTTCCGCAGCCCCAGCTCCACAACCTGGAAGGGCCAGAATGGTCGCACATTAAAAGTGGGCAGCTTCCCAGCCTCGGCAGTGACGCTGACAGACCTGAAGGGCTCGCCAGCCACCTGTCCAGTCCACAGAGACTCCCCTGCCTGGGGAGAGCAGAGACGGGGAAGCGCGGACGGGTGAGGACCTGAAAGAGTGGGGACAGAGCTGGGCTGGGGAACCGACCAAGTTCAGCAACTGCTCTGCAAGGGAAGCTTGGGGAGGGGCCGGGGTCAAGCTGGGAGCTGGACGTGCCTTCCAGAAGCTTCACTCTGGGTCTCAGATGGGGAGCCCCAGAGATTCTTTGGGGGGAGACTTTGATGTTGGGTGGGGCTGGGGTAGAAAACGAACTGGATCACTCCCCAGCAGGGCCAGAGCCAAGGCAAAGCTTCGGGAGCCACCTCCAGCTCAGGGTCAGAGAAGGAACATGCCCCTGCAGAGGAGAAAGGGTGAGTGTGGGGGAAGGGCAGGGTCCCAGGGTCTCTCGGATCAAGAACAGCCCTCAGTTCTGCCCCCTGCTCTGGATCCATGCCTTTGACATATGACTTCCCCACATATGACTTCTTCCTTCCACCACTTCCTTCTGCCTGTTGACATCCCAGCTGCCCTTTAAATCTGCCTTGTGCACTGCACAGCATCTCCACCTGCAGCGCCTGCGCTGTCCGTTCTTTGGGGACGTGGCTGCCCAGGCCTGGCAGCTGTCTTATTGTCCCACCTAACACAAGGACCACCTGAGGACAGCACGAGCTGACAGAGTGGGACGAAGGCAGGGCCCTGCACCCAGGCTTCCTCTCAAGATGTTTTTTCTCGCTGTGCAGGCATTTCCAAGAGTCTGGAATCTGTTCTGTCCCTGGGCCCCTGCCCCACAGGGGGTGGTCTGAGCCCCCCCGAACTTCGAAAAGCCAGAGATGTCCCCCAGGGACCCCCAGGCCTGCCACCCCGCCCTCCCTTTGCCTCCGGCTCTTCTCAGTCCAACCAGCCCCCCAGGGAGCGGCCTTCCTGGCCCAAAAGAGAACCCCTGCACAGTCACCCCTTGGGAGCACCTGGAGCCAGCAAAGCCGCTGTTCTCTCTGGAGGTCTCTTGCCCGACCCCGATTTGCAGAAGAGGGTGATGGAGGTGAGGTGTCCCCGAAGTGGCCTGGTGTCCAGCAGGGGCTGCAGGCCGGGGTAAGAACCTGAGTGAGGCTTTGTCCCCGAAGGTGGAGCTGAGCGTACATGGAGTCACCCACCAGGAGTGCCAGGCGGCACTGAGGGCCACTGGAGGAGATGTGGTTTCTGCCATCCAGAACCTTAAGGTAAAGGCAGACCCTTCTCTTGGGCTCCCACCTCTCCTGCCCCTGCCCCTGCCCTCTGGCACTCAGCTGCCCTCCCTCCTGCTTCCACAGGTAGACCAGCTCTTCCACCTGACCAGCCGGTCCAGAGCCGACTGCCGGCACATCTTGGAGCATTACCACTGGGACCTCTCAGCGGCCAGTCGCTATGTCCTGGCTCGGCCCTAAGCTCTGCTCCTTTAGACACGGACACCGGATGCACCAAGGAGCTGACCATGTGGGGCGAGCAGAGCAGAACAAGGTCCGGAAAGGGTGTGTGTTCTCACCTGAAGAGAGCCTGCCGTAGGCAGGTCCAGGGGTCCAGGGTCGGGCACTGACGCGTGTCTCCTCCTACCCTGCCTCTTGGCCTCTGAAGGCTCAAGCTCCCTTGGCTGGGTCACGGGAGGATCTAGTCTGCCCTGCCCACCACATTGCCAACCAGGAGGAGGACTTGGAGGAACAGAGCTGCTACCCACCATCCCCATAGGAAGCTTGTACTTGCTACAGAGAATGCCCAAGTGGCCATACTGAACCCTGGGAACAGCCATCCTGAGCTGCCTTCAGCTCCACACTGAGCCCTGGGGGCACAGCCATCTCGGATGATGGGAGCAGCCGTACTGACTTGGGGCACGTGGCCCAAACTGCCGGGGCCGGGGCCATCATGGGTGATGAAAGTTGCTGTCTAGGATGCAAGGACACTTGATCCTGGCAGCATGGATGACGAGATGAGACGAGACGAGACGGGCCAGCCCCACCCGGCCCAGCTGCCATATTTCCCTTTGTTTCTCCCCATACCAACTCTTTCTTCTGCCCTCTCCCATGACACAGATCTTCCAATGTCCAAAACGTTACAAAGTTTATATGAATATAACATACAAAGATGCAGCCTCCTTTGAGGAACAGGGAAGGAAGGGGTGGTTGGTTAAGGCACACGGAGCTGCAGCAAGCACCAGCTGTGGGGAGGGCCAAGGGGGGGAGGAGGTTGGCACTGGGGCCGAGGCCCTAGCCGTTGCTGGGGAAGTGGGGATCCCCTCTGAGTGCCACGTTCTGAGGCTGAACTAATTGGCCAAGCTGAGGCAGAGGTGGGTGGCATATCAGCCATCTTTGGTGCTGTTTACCCTTCCCCACCCCAGCTCTGCGGTAAAACCCCAGGGCCCTGGATTCCCAAGGCCCCATCCAGAGCAGAGGCCCTGGAAGGGGGTGAGAGGAAGTGAGTCGGGCAAGTCTGAAAGCCGATACGCCTGTGTGCTGAGGGATGGCCGGAGACAGCGGTGAGAGGTAGCAGGGGAAGGGCTCTCATACATACCCTTCTGTGGGGGCCACAGGTGAAGGAGGCCAGGGGAGTAGGGTAGGGATGGGGCACCATGGCCCCAGCCTCTTAGGCATCCCTGTCTGTCCTCTGCAGTGAACATGGAGGAAAGGGGCTGCCTCTGAGGAGGGGCCGGGCCAGGCCAGGTGACCATCTTGAGTTCTGGCCGAGATGACGGTCCTCACCCTGAGATGCCGTCTAACTGGTGATGGCAGAGGGCCCGGTGCCTCCTCGCTTCTCGAAGAACATGTAGTCCTGAGGGGAGGGTACTGTCAACAGGAGATGCGGCTGGGCCGGCCTGGCTCAGCTGTCACAACCCAGGTCTAGAACTGCAACCCCCCCCCCCCCCCATAAAGTCTGTTCCTAACGCATTCCTAGCAGGAGGCCAGGAAGTGCAAGCCTCCAGTGGGAGCAAAGGCGGGACAGCGGACTCACAATGAGGAACGTGGCTCCCAGCAGCACGGCCTTCACTCTCACGTCCAGATCCAGCGGGAACTGCAAGCCAAAGTCGTCTGCGTCCGTGAGGGCTTCTTGGAGCAGCCCCCCCCACTGCTTGCTGATGCGGCCCACACTGCGGGACTCATCCGGAGTCTTCACCTGTCGGGAGGGCGAGAGGCAAGAAGAAAAGACCCAACTGCGGTGGATGCAACTGCTCTCGCCTGTCTCCAGTCCTACTCCCACAGGCACCTGGATGAACTGTGCGGCTCTACGCTTACTGAATCCTCCTCACAGCCTTGGGTTTCCATGTGACTTCTGGGGAAAACAAGTCACCATAAGTCACACTGGGAATATACAGCAAAAATCAGGATTCAGCCCTAACCGGTTTGGCTCAGTGGATAGAGCGTCAGCCTGCGGACTGAAGGGTCCCAGGTTCGATTCCGGTCAAGGGCATGTACCTTGGTTGCGGGCACATCCCCAGTAGGGGGTGTGCAGGAGGCAGCTGATCGATGTTTCTCTCTCATCGATGTTTCTAGCTCTCTATCCCTCTCCCTTTCTCTCTGTAAAAAAATCAATAAAATATATTTTTAAAAAAAATCAGGATTCAGACTTAGCTCTGTTTCTCTCGAAGGACCATACGTGTCAATTGAACATCAGTGGTGAGAGAAGCGGAAGCATAATAGAGTCCAGTCTCCTTAGCGTATGTATGGCTGGTTGTTAGGTTTGTTTTTATTACCAAAGTCCCTGCCACCCACATTTAGCGCAGTCTGTGCCCTACACCAGTGGTCGGCAAACCACGGCTTTCGAGCCACATGCGGCTCTTTGGCCCCTTGAGTGTGGCTCTTCCACAAAATACCACGTGCGGGCGCGCACGTACAGTGCGATTGAAACTTCGTGGCCCATGCGCAGAAGTCGGTTTTCGGAAAGGAGATAGACGAAACAAGCATACAAGACGAGTGTGGATGGGAGAGTTGGAAGGGGTCGACCTCAGCGAACGTACCTCAATCAGATTGAGGACGTTTTTTAGCCAAGGCCAGCTTAGGAGTACCCTAATTAAGTTCCCTAATTAAGTTAATAACAATGTACCTACCTATATAGTTTAAGTTTAAAAAATTTGACTCTCAAAATAAATTTCAATCGTTGTACTGTTGATATGTGGCTCTGTTGACTAATGAGTTTGCCGACCGCTGCCCTACACCAAGAAGCTTGACCAAGAGGCAAGGGAGGCTGTTAAAATTCTGGCTGCACCCTGTCAGCCAACCAGGCGCCTAGAAGACTGTGTCTGCCCCAAGGGGTGCCTTTCCTTTGCAAAGTAGGGAGGGCCCTGTCCAGCACTGCAGCCTCAGCTAGAGGGTAGCCTCCCAGGACCATGCTTTCCACTGGACCCTCTGAGCCCAGCGGCAATAGGTCCTGCTGATGTAGATGGTAACTCACAGCGACTCCCTGGTCCTTTTCCTGTGCTCATTCTCCAGTGACTAGAACTACCATGATTTCCTATGTCCTTCCCATCCCCTTCCCTCACTGGCCTACCCTTCTGGGGCACTTCCTGATGATCAGTCCCACGCTGGGCAGGTTCTCTCCCAGCCAATCGTGTGGTCCCAAGAGTACATCCCCAAATATGGACCATTCATAATTAGGTAAGAGGGAGACTGGCCCTATGAGAACCCCACAGTCTACACATTCCCACCCAGAAGTGAGCAAGTTATGTCGTTCCCAACCAGTTCCTATCACAGAATCTTCCCTCAGCTGCTAAGGTGACTCAATTTTTAAAAGTAACCTTAGGGAGGACACCTCATCAGATGGCTTGGAAAGTCTACTGGATTATAACCTACTGTTTCTTCCTTATCTGCACAGGTAATTATCCCTTACAGAATTCAAGGATCTGGCCCTGGCCAGTGTGGCTCAGTTGGTTGGGCATTGTCCCCTGCACTAAAAAGTTGCTGGTTGGGGCACATGCCCAGGTTGTGGGCTCAGTCCCTGGTAAGAATGTGCAGGAGGCAGTGGATTGATGTTTTGCTCTTACATCAATGTTTCTTTTTCACTCTCCCTCCCTCTCTCTAAAAATCAATTATAAAACTTAAAAAAAAATTTCAAGGGTCTGTAAAGTGCCTTTGTCTTCTACAAGCAAAGGTGCTTCCCCAGCCTCACGCTGAAACTGCCACCACTTGGCTTCTCCAGGCTCCAGGTGGTGAAAGGAATGCATGGTGAGAAGGGTCTCACCTGAATTCCAGGCTGGAGAGGCCACTGGACTTCGAGATCGGCAAGGCAAGCCACAGGGGGTTCATAAGTTAAATCACTGCTTGCTCCAGGGTCTGAGCTCACAAACTCATGCACAACTGTCACATGGGTCCTTCTCCATTCTAAATCCAGCCTGGCCTTGGATGGTTCCCCTTCTCAATATGGCTGTCGGTAACCATGAGCAGTGGCCCTCAAGATGAAACCCACTTTGTCATGCATTTATAAGACCAGGGAGCCATCCTATTTCTACAGGGAGGAACACTGGGAATGTGGCAGGAGTCACAGTGAGTTTGGATCCATGAGCTCAGTGTCCTGTCTTTAGCGTTGGCCATCCTGCCTCGTGGGAGCTGCCATCTTGGTTTATGAAGGTCCCAGGCACCGCCCCTTATTCTCGGTACCTCAAAATTGGTGTCTGAGCCACAGCCGCAGGTCCAGCAGGGCCCCACCACTCGGAGGATGGTGTGGCGATCGGCGTCTTGGATGGAGAACTTGGGGAGGAAGGGATGCCAGGTCTGCAGCACGTGGCCAATGGTGGTGCCTGGTGGCGACTGCACTTCCATCTGGAGAGGGAGGTAGACAGGGTTATGGCGGAGCCAGGGGACCCTGGCACTGGCTCTCACCCCTCCAGCTCTATCACTGGTCTCCCCTCAAAGACCTCCCATCCCCTTTCCCAGACCTCCAGTCCCACCCGTCCACTCCCAGGCCTCATGCTGGTGATGCTCCATCGTTGATCCTCCGCATGGCATGACCTCCTCTCCCGGACCCATCCCTCCCCGCTCACCTCTCCCGGACCATCCCTCCCCGCCCACCTCCTGGAGGCCGCACGGGCAGCAGCTGCAGCCACAGTGGAGGGGGCGGAGCAGGCGCAGCACTTCTCGGTCCCCGGGGTCCACCAGACGGACGCGAAGGGGCCGGCGGGCGCCGCAGCACAGACGGGCACAGCAGTTGCTCTCCTCAGCCGCCTGACCCAGGGGCTGCCCAGCCCCCGAGCGCAGTTCATACCGGTTACTTGTCTCCCAGCCTAGGCGCGCTGCCAAGGGGTGACACGGGGGCTCAGGCACCCGCGCCGGCCCAGGAGCCCACTCTCTGCCCGTCACCAGGCCGACCTACTCGTCCTTCCACTCACATTCCACGCGCCCAGCCCTCTGGTGAACCAGGATCTGGTCAATCTGGAAAGAGAGCGGGGCCGCGCCCCCCTCAGCGCGCAGCCCCGAGCGCCGGGGCCCCGCCCTGGCGCGGCTCCCTTCCCATCTCCCACTCCCCGGACCCAGAATTCGACGAGGGCAGGAAGGCGCCCCGGGCAGCGGCAAGAGGAGAGCAGCAGGCCCGGCCGCAGGGCCCAGAGCACCGGGGCCGGACGAAGGGAAAGAGAGCGAAACCCGGGCGCCGGAACAAGACACGTGAGCGTGCACCGGGCGCCGGTCCCGGGCCCCGGGATGCTGCACCTGCTCCGGGTACCCAGGGGCCACCGGGTAAGGAGGAGGGGGCGAAGGGGCGTAGCCTGTGGGGGGCAGGTATCCTGTGGGGGGGGGCAGGGGTCCATTAGAGAGACTTGCGACCTCCTCCTCTTGCCCCTTAGCCCTTGGGGGACCTCGAGGCTGCGGGGGAAACGTGGTGAGAAGAGACTGAAAAAGATGGGGTTGGGGAGCAGGGCGGCGGCTCCGGAGAGGAAGGGAGGGGCCCACCCAGCCAGTCCGCGCACATTCCCGGAGGGTGCGTCCGACACCCGGCTCCCAGGTGGGGTGGCGGGGGATAACGGAGACCCTCGCACCGGGCCCACCTACCTGCCATGGGAAAGGGATGAGGTCCGCGGGTTGTCGCTCTGCCGGAAGCTTAGTTCCAGAAGTGGAGCCAAGCTCGGGGACAGCCTGACAGACACAGACAGACACAAAGACGCACAGGCAAACGCGGAGAGGCGGCTGCGCCCGGCGCCCGCCCAGGGTCTCTCGGGCGGCGCCTCTGACTCGGGGAGAAACCGAAAGTGTCAGCGGACAGGGCAGAGCACCTGGGACCCTGGATTCCCTCCGGGGTTCGCAGAACCGCCCCCTCCCTTTGTTCCCCCATTCTCCGCGGAGGCGGCTGTTGGCAGACGGCAGGACGGGTGGACCCGCGATCAGACCGACGGCCCGACCTCGAGGGAGGTTTCCTGACCCCTCTGCGTCCCCCGCTCACCTGAAGCCCCTAAAACAGTCGGGGTGCCCAGCGCTCGGAGCCTCCCGAGAGCTCGTGGAGGCGGGCCCGGGGTCTGGCCCCGCCCCTCGGCGCCTGGGCCCCGCCCTCCCGGCCCGGGAGCCGCGCCTGCGCAGGAAGGACGCCGGCTCCCCTGCCGGCGGCGGACCCGGGACCGCGGGCTCCTCCGCGTGGTGGGCGTCCTGCCTCTTCCGTTTCCCTGCAGCGGGCCCGAGAGGAAGTCCGCTCCGGGAGGGCAGCCGACAGCGTCCTACCCGGCAACCCCGCCGGGTGTGCGCACGGAGAGCTCGGCGCCCTCCGTGGAGGCGAGGACAGCTGGCACCGCTCGGGACCCCGGGCTCCTCCTCCCAGGGCGGTTCGGGCCTCGCTGACCTGACGCAGCGGGACACCCTTCACACTATCACTCCGTGGCCTCTAGGACTAGCTCCCGGCCCCCTTCCTGCCTCCCTGCAGCTCACCTCGCTGTCTCTCATTCCTGACGCCGCAGTGACCCACACGGATGCCTTTCGATGACAGCACTTTCTAAAGTCGGGCCCAGCCACGCGGGTGACAGGCTGCCAACCAGTGTCACCAGTGAGTGTGCAGGAGGTTAAGTTCAGGGAGGCCGGATGAGGCAGTGCAGTCAGCAGGAAAGGCTTCCCCCATAAAGTCCCTTCTTTTGGGTCCTGAGCAGAGGCAGGCCCGCCCGAGTGCACAGAAGGCCCGTGGGAGCTGGGACTTGGCCCCAAGGGCAGCAGCGAACCTACTGAAAGATTTTGACCAAATTTAATTAAGAAAAAGTTACCGTCAAAATTTTGTTTTAGAAAAACCATTAAGACTGTAATGTGGGGCCCTAACCGGTTTGGCTCAGTGGATAGAGCGTCGGCCTGTGAACCAAAGGGTCCCAGGTTCATTGCGGTCAAGGGCATGTACCTTGGTTGCGGGCACATCCCCAGTGGGGGCGTGCAGGAGGCAGCTGATCGATGTTTCTCTCTCATCGATGTTTCTAACTCTATCCCTCTCCCTTCCTCTCTGTAAAAAATCAATAAAATATATATATTTTTAAAAAGACTGTAATGTGGGAAACAATGGGGCACCCAGGCTGGGCTGTTGGCAGTGGTCTGGGGGAGAGGATGGCTGTGGGAGTGCAGAGTGGACAATACAGAACTTGTCTGGAGGATGAGATGTGGGGGTGAAGAGTCCAGGTGCCTCTGTTGACCAGGCAGATGAAGAAGAAACTCACCAGTATGAACATGGGGAGCTGATTTTGGGGGCTCCTTTGCCGGTATGTCCATGTTCTTCTGGGCTGTTCATCTGCTCCCACAGCTTTAGGCATCATCTGCCTCAGACAAGGGCTTGACTGCCCTCCACCAGAATACATAGACATACAGAAATTCAGGTATTCAACAAAGATTTAGTGAGCACCTACTGTATGTCAGATAGCATTTAAGGTGATAGGAATATTTACCAGTTAAAAACAATTAACTAATATTCCTGATCCCCTGGGGTTCACATTCTAGTGAAGAAGAGACAGATAATGTAAATAAATACATCAGAAGTGACAAGTGCAATGAAGAAAAATAGAACAGAATAAGGAGAATAGAGAGTGGTGGGCAGGGGTTGCAATTAAAATTTTTAAAAACATTTTCTTATTGATTTCAGAGAGGAAATGAGAGGGAGAGATAGAAACATCAATGATGAGAGAGAATCATTGTTAGGCTGCCTCCTGCACCCTCCCCACCCCCACTAGGGATTGAACCCGCAACCCAGGCATGTACCCTGACCTGGAATAGAACAGGTGACCTCCTGCTTCATGAATCAACACTCAACCACTGAGCAACACCAGCTGGGCATGGGGTTGCAATTTTAAAGAGGGCAGACTAGGAAGGCATCACCACGAGGGTGACCGTTGAGCAAACTCCTAAAGGAGGTCAAGGATTGGGCCATGCAGACTTCTAAGTGAAGAGTGCTTCACGCATAGGCCACAGGGCAAGGGTCTCGAGGCAGAATGTGCCTTAATTGTTCAATGAACAAAAAGAAGGCTAGTGTAGCTGGGATAGAGTGAATGAGGGAGGAATAGAATGGTGAGAGGGAGGTAAGAGGCGGGATCACATATGGCCTGTAGACGATTGGGTTATACTCTGAGTGACATGGGAAGTGTTGGAGGGTTTGGACAGAGACAGACATGAGCCTCACATACTGAAATAATGGTCCTCAACTCTGGCCCCAAGTTAGAATCAGTTGGGGTGCTTTAAAATACCTCTGCCTGGGCCCCACTTCATATCAACTAAATTAGAATCGTTTGTGTGAGGTGCAGACACAAGAACTATTTTTGTTGTTGTTAATCCTCACCCGAGGATATTTTTCCATTGATTTTATTTATTTACTTTAGAGAGAGTGCAAGGGAGGGAGGAGGAAGAGAGAAACATCAATTCCAGAGAGACACATGGTTGCCTCCTGAATGCACTCCATCTGGGCCCAGGATCGAAGCCACAACCCAGGTACTAGCCTTGATTGGAATTGAGCCCTTGAGCCTTTGGTGCATGGGCCAATGTTCTAACCACTTAGGACCACAGGCCAGAGCCATAAGAACTTTTTTTTTTTTTTTTTTTTACATTTTTATTGATTTCAGAGAGGGGAGAGAGATAGATAGAAACATCAATGATGAGAGAGAATCTGATCGGCTGCCTCCTGCACACCACTTATTGGGGATCGAGCTCGAAACTTAGGCATGTGTCCTTGACTGGAATCGAACCTGGGACCCTTCAGTCCATCCACAAGCCGATGCTCTATCCATTGAGCCAAACCAGCTAGGGCCATAATAATTTTTTGAGAATTCTTCAGCAGGCTTTAATATATAGCTAAGGCTGAGGACTACTGTGTTAGAAGGATTTCTCTCTCTCTCTCTCTCTGCTTTGTCCACAGTAGGTGTAGATAATCAAGGTCAGAAGGAAGTTCTTGCATAAAACTAGGTGAGATTTAAAAAAAATATATGTTTTTATTGATTTTAAATATTTTTAATATATATTTTTTATTGATTTCAGAGAGGAAAGGAGGAGAGTTAGAAACATCAATGATGAGAGAATCATTGATCAGCTGCCTCCTGCACACCCTCTACTGGGGATCGAGCCCGAAACCCCAGCATGTGCCCTTGACCAGAATCAAACCCGGGAACCTTCAGTCCGCAAGCCGATGCTCTATCCACTGAGCAAAACTGGCTAGAGCTGTTTTTATTGATTTTAGAGAGGAAGGGAGATGGAGAAATAGGAACATCGATCAGCTGCCTCCTGCATGCCCCCTACTGGGGATTGAGCTGGCAACCTGGGCATGTGCCCTGACAGGGAATCAAACTGGCAACCTCTTGGTACATGGGTCAAAGCTCAACCACTGAGCCACACCAGCCAGGCAAACTAGGGGAGATTTTTTTTAATATTTGTATTAATTTCAGAGAGGAAGGAAGAGGGGGAGAGAGATAGAAACATCAATGATGAGAGAGACTCATCGATTGGCTGCCTCCTGCACACCCCCCACTGGGGATCGAGCCCACAACCCAGGCATGTGCCCCTGACTGGAATCGAACCTGGGACCCTTCAGTCCGCAGGCCGATGCTCTATCCACCAAGCCAAACCGGCTAGGGCAAACTAGGGGAGATTTAATGGGGGCATGGGCCAGGGGCAAGAGTGGTAGCAGTGGGAAATGGTCAGATTCCAGTTATGTATTCAAGCCAACAGGATTGATGATGGCTTGGACAGAGGATGTGAGGAAAAGGGAAGTCCAAGTTGACTCAAGCTTGGCCCAGGAGGCCGTTCAGTGTGAGCTCCACACTTCCTCTGTATTTATTGCTTTTCCTGCTGCCCACTCCATCCTGAGCTCCAGGCGCCCCTGTTTGCCTTCTCGCTGTTACCAGGGTGATCTTGTCCCTCTTTTTCTGGTGAACTCTGCATGCTGAAACCCAGCCGGTGGCCAGAAGGCTCACCAGTCTCCAAAGACGGAGCCAGCCCACCTGTTCCTACTTGTAACACTGAACTCATTGTATCAAATCATGTTTTAAAGGGTCTGTCCTCACTGTTTCTTGGTATGTACATGAAGGCAAGAATTTAGCTCTGGGAACTGAACAGAAGAGAGTCTGAATCACAGCTTACCCAGGTCCTAGCTGTACGATACAGAACAAGTTCCTGTACCTCTCTTAGTTTCACTTCCCACCAACTCTCAGGGCTGTTGAGATACAATGTATAGTAACAATAAGGACAAATGACCAAGCAGGCCTTATTTATATTGGTTCCCCAAGAGCCCAGCCTACTGGCAGGACAAAGCTCAGCTATTAGGGATCACATTACATGGACGGTGGCCATTCCAGAAACCGAGTTCTCCTCCCCCTGGAAGTTCCCAGACATTGCCTGAGATGAGGATAGAAATGCATCCAGAGCACTAAACGGGGAGGTAGGAGCCTGAGGACCCAGTGCTGGCTCTGCCACTGGCATTGGGGGTCACTCTGGGGCCTATTTTACTCATCTTTCAGTGAAGAATTATTGTGATCCTCGAATCCACCTCAAATCATGTCTCCTCCCTAGATATAAATGCTTCGGTGGCTTTCCATTGTCCTCACTGAACAGTTCAACCTCTCAGCACAGTCGCTCCACCATTTGACCAGTGCTATCCGAATCTTTTACTGCTGACCCTCTCATGATCTTCAAGCCAGTCACCAGGAATTACTTCAGGTCTCAAGTGCTCTGGGCTCCCCTCTTGCTTCGGGGCTGCCTTGAAAGCTCTTGCCTGGTCTGGAACACGCACCTTTCGCTCCTCATCATCCAACTCCTTCAAGACTCCACTGAGCACTCTGCTACACTGCAGCTGCCACAGGAGGCTGGAGCTCAGTAGGAACTCGAGTGGGAGACAGGAATCCTGGATTTAAAATTATGCAGATTAAAGGTGCGGGGCTGAATGAGGTTATCTAAGCATCCTTCATTAGAGAGACGGTCTGCACTTTTTTGAATGCACACCTTCAGAAAAATTAGGTATGCACCTCCAGTATACTCTACAGATAGGCACTTTATAAAACATACACAAAGATAGAAATTTTAAAAAATGAAATTATATTGAGAGCCCCCCCCAAAAAAATGAAATTAAAATATGTATGCATAGTAGTTCTAATTTTTTTTCATTAAAATTTGGAAACCATTGATTTAAACTGCATAGGGGAGAAGCTGACAAAGTAGCCACAGAGATAGGAAAAACCAGAGAGTGGTGTCACAGAAGCAACATGATGTGTTTCAAGGACAGTATGACCAACTGTGTCAAACGCTGCAGGGAGGCTGAGAAAAATGAGATAGAAAATCATCCATTAGATCTGGCAACCAGGAGGTCATAGTGAGTTATGGGATCCTTCCAAGAGTATTTATGGGGAAGAAATGGAATGGAAGCCTGACCAGAGTGGGTTGCAGAGTAAATTTGAGTCTGGACTTTCCTGCTGAGCTGACACCTCCCTGAGCTCCTCAACTACCTGCGTGGCGCCTCCAGTTGGATGTCCCTTGGACATTTTGGAAGCAACATGTCCAAACTGACCTTCAGACTCGCCTCCCCTTAATGTGCAACCTCCTTCAGTTTTTCTCATCGGAGTAATAGCACCTCCACCAAGTCAGGTATATAAGCCAGAAATCTCCCTCATTCATCCCTTATGCGCAATCCATCAGCAAGTCCTATCAGCATTATCTTAAATATATATTGAATTGGATCCTTTTCACCCTAAGCCAAGCCATCATCTCACACCTGGACCTCTTCAGTGGCTTCCTGACTGGTCTCCCTGTGGCCATCCTCCGATTAGTTCTCCAGATCTTGTAAACATAACAGATTCTAACACTCTCACTTTAAAAACCTTTCAATGATTTATGGTTGCACTACAAAGAAATTCTGAGTGTCTGCCCGCCACATGTAGTGCTTTCCAACTCACCCAATTTTCTCTTGCCTCAAAGACTTTGTACTGCTTCTTTTTGGCCTGTTTTGCCAGTTATTCTTTCTGCCTAAAATACACTTCCTTCCAGCGTTGTGCATGGTTTACCTTCAGCCTGCAAGGCCTTCCCATCTGAAAGGACATAACTTCCCTTGCCCACTCTTCCACGGCCTCCCTGTTCTTTTCCTTCAGGCAGAGCACAACTCACAATGATAAATTTGTTTAAGGTCCATTTCCACTACTAAATGGAAAACTCCATGAGGGAAAGTTGGCATCTGTCTTGTTCACAGTTGAATTTCCTTATGTGTCTGACACCTGATCAATACTTGATGAGCACTGGCTTAATCAATACTGCCCCCTAAATATC